CATCAGTAATTTCTTAGCTAGTACAGAAAAACAAATTTCAAGGCAATCTCACCTATATTTTGTCAATTTTTTTTTTGTTGAAAACTTTGATCCTTAATTTCTCCAAGTGGAGATAAGAAGAAGGTGAGGTTAGAAAATTTGCAAATATCAATGATGCAGATGTTTAGATGAAAATAATTCCACCAACACTTCGTTTTGTTTTATTGTTTGAATGTTTACTCCTCCTCATCTTGGTACAAAGAAATTTCTTTATTTATATTATTATATTATATGATGTGCATTCAGTATAATGCTCAGATTGTTATTATTTGACTCTTAGATCAACTTACAAAATATTTTGAAAGATTTTGAAATGACTAGAAAATATGAAACCAGTTATTCTTACCATCAGCTACACACACCATTTTCAGCAAACTGATAATTGCTCTGATAACGCAGAGTTATTATATGAGACCGTAAGAGAGTATCAGTTCGAAACTGGCTGTTTATAAAAAGAACGGACGGCCACAAAATCAGGCAAAGTATGCAAAGTAAGTCAGTTGGATATCTTTTGCTTACATTTTACATAATAGTTGTAGTTTATTCCGGTATAAGAAAACTAAAGTGATGCTATTATTTTTGTCCATCGCCCTTCAAAGAAAGAAGGTGACTATAAAATGGGTTCAACAGTCTGTCTGTCCATCTCACTTTTGGGGACACACTAACCCTGCTTATAATCGTGGTAGAATATGTTCATTAGGTGAATGTCTTGACTGTGTTCGATAATAAGCTGTTCATGTTAAGCTGAGATTGACAGAGACTTTGGAACGCAATAACTTTGATTTTAATTGACTGAGAGTGATAAAACTTGGGTAACAGTTTCATTACATCAATGACTTTAATAATTTGATGATGATCAATTTCTGCTTAGGCTAAGCAGATATAACAAGTTTGGTTCATTGCTTTGATTAAAATCTAACCGAGTAATGAGACTTTTGTATAGTTTCATCAAATCAATTTCTTGTATTTTTACAAAAAAAGTAACTGTAACAAATCGCAATACTTCATTGTCTTCAAACTCGATTTTTGTGGCTTAATGGTTGTTCCGTTTTAGGCCTACTTATTTGATGAATTTTGTAGGTCGTGGACAGACCTAACATATATGTATAACATTTTTTGACCCAAGAAATGTTTATTCATACCAGTATAATATTACAAAGACTGCAAAATCATGTGAATTACAATACTACAGTCTACACCACATAGGTTACAAATACCAATTACGTTTCTGTTATAAAACTTAAAACACGATCTTTATCAATCAAATATTGTTCTTATATTTATCTTTCATCGCCATAAAAGATATTGCAAATCATATAGTCTATTCAGGGTTACATGTACATGAGTTTTATGTATTTCAGGCATGACTTGCACAATTTTAAGCTCATTATCAAAGATGTAATATATTTCAGTGGTTCTCGCTTTAAGTAGTGATGTCTTGTATAAGGAAGTGTATCTTAATAAAAAAAAAACACCCCATACCACTTCCCATTTCAGGAGTTCATATAGCTGTCCTGTTTTTGTTGTATTTTTGTAATAAATATAATATCTTGCGGGCTTGAAATGGAAAATGTTTTTTAAAGATAACATTAAGTAGAGATTAAGTATTATGCCTAAAGTCTATTAATTCATATCTATAGGGAGATAATCAAATTTAGGGGCAAATTACACGTCTGAGACCGCTTATCAGTCAATAAGTAGGCCTACAGACAGGGAAAAACAAGAATTTTATACCAAGTTCCTTTCGCTTAAATTTTTCACCAATCCATTTGGCCAACAAATTTTTGTTTGCCCGCCATCAAGGAGCATTTTATAAATTCATAATTATATAGATTGGCATTAGCAAAATGGCCACATGATCACCTCCCATTGGCAAGCTAATCTGATTAAATATGCTGTTGTCAATATGAAAGTATAATATGCTTTGGAGAATAAATTACCAATACTAGGAGAAGTAGATCTGGCTCCCTGCAGATAACCATACGGGGCGATTGAAAGAAATAAAGTGTTGGGTTACCATTACCCCAACCCTGATGGGTGAGCACGGAGATTGTCTTATGTATTGCTTTATTTGTTTGAAACAATTCAGTTATGGGTTTGATCAAACTGTTGCCCTGCTAAATGCAACAGAATTATTTTAAAGAAATATCATTTGTTTCCAGAAATGATTTATTTTTGCCGATTGAATGTTAAACACCACTTTCTTGAAGATTTGACAATAGTTTCTACAAATCAGTTATTTGCAATATGTAAAAAATTTTGAAAAAAACCCCCAACCAACATTGCAATTATCCAGTATATTGTGTTGCCATTGAAGGGATATTGCCAAACATGGTGACCTTGAGATAATGTCAATATTGTCCGATAGTACAATGAAATAATAACCATGACATGAAGTAATATAAGAAGGTGTTAACCTACGTGTTTATCAATATAATGACCTTCAAACCGCTTAAAATACATATTAAACTGTCATGCATATAAATTTCAATATTTTCTCATCTACATTTTAAAATTTTAAAGATGCATTATTAAGATGAAGGTAAAGAGCTGACAGTTCTCACTATAATAGTTAAACAAAAATAGATACTAAAAAGGGAATATGTTGAAAACTTCAGTTTCAGTCAAATTACTTCATTCTGAGTGGAGTTATCGTTGTTTGCAGAACAGAGTAGTTTCGATTGTCATTGCTACCGCTGTTACAATAATAAACAAAGTCTCAATTATCCATTTTTATACGCCCACATGGAAATGGCTTTTGTATAATTTTCTTGGGATATCCGGATTGTTTAAGATAGGATTCAAAGTTTCTTAGGGTTGATTTGGTCCAGCAATCTTTGCTACAAATCATTCCTATGATGTCATAACTTCGTATGATATCATAACTGGCTTCCAGTCATTTTGTATTTAGTTCTTCATCCCTTAAGAAGTTAGTATTTTTACTGACGAAACATTGGATAAAACGATGGTTTTTTGATATTGTATTTCTATTAATTATTGTATATCAATTATCAACTTATCTGAATATCAAATGCATCATTTTGACTTAGTCAAAATTGATCCCATCAAACCGTCTGTAATTGGTTTGTGTTACCTGTTTCTATTGATTGAAAGTTTCTCACATGTAAAAGTGGACGTACATTGCACTTGCAGTCTCCCCCGTCTGTCCGTCGGTCCATCCGTAGTCCCCAATTTCTTTTGAACACTCTAACACCAAAAGTTATCAACTGATTGTTTTAAAATTCATATTTGTTGTTTACATTAGTTAGATGAAGAAGCCTATTTAATTTCGATAATTTCCGATAATTACATCTAGAGTTGTTGCCTTTGTGAACGCTTTAATGACAAAACTTATCATCCGATCTTTGTGAAATTTATATGCATTATTTGAATTAATGAAACGAAGAAGCCTATTGAATTTCAGCAATTGCCCTTAATTACTTCTAGAGTTATGGCCCTTGTTTCTCTTTGTTGCACCTTGTGAACACTCTAACATCAAAAGTTATCTGCTGATCTGTATGAAATTTATATGTGTCATTTAAATTAGCAAAAAAAAAGAATCCTATTGAATTTCAGCAATTTCTGTTTACTATGTCTAGAGTTATGGCCCTTGTTTCACTTTGTTCAACCTTGTGAACACTTTAACACCAAAAGTTATCATCTGATCTGTATGAAATTTATATGCATCATTTAGATTAGTGAAACTACAAAGCCTATTAAATTTTAGCAATTTACAATAATTACTTCTAGAGGTGTGGCCCTTGATTCACTTTGTTCAACGTTGTTGTTAATGGTCGATTAATGAAAGTTATCATCAGATATGTATGAAATTTATATGCATCATTTAAATCTATTGAATTTTAGCAATTTCTAGAGTTATGGCCCTTGTTTTACTTTGTGAACCTTGTGAATGTTCGAATGACAAAAGTCATCATGCAATTTATATGCATTATTTAAATTAGTAAAACGAAAAAGCCTGTCAAATTTCAGAATTTTCTGTAAATTACTTCCAGAGTTAAGGCCCTTGTTTCAGTTTGTAGAACCTTGTGAACCCTCAAACGACAAAAATTATAATCTGATCTGTATGAAATTGTCTTGTAAATGCCTCCAATTACCTACAATTTAGCTGCTGTGGGTATATGTTTTGTTGCTTGGCAACCTATCTTTATTGCATGGGAGCGGGCTACATATAATTTACCAACTACCCCAAGAACAAATTTCCAAATTTTTGACTTTGAAATAGAAAAGTTGCCTAATTTGAGTCCTATTGTAATTTTATATTCTTGAGGAACATAGCTGGTGAATATATACCCTCACTCTCATGCAATAAAAATGTTTGTGAAAAATATTCCTGACTTTATAATATATTTTTCTTGGAATAAATTATGGTGTAGTAATAATACCGAATTTTGTGGCAACAAAACAAAATGCACAAAAATTTAATGACATAAGAAGAGAGTACCTGTAACAATGTTATGTCCTATTTGTTATACTAAGAGCTCAATTAAATTAAATGTTACCTTAACTCAGTTTTTATCTTTCAAGTATTTTTGGTAGTTACAACTAAGCAATGAGTAAATTTACATAAAACTTGTCACCATAGATAGCATGTGGTTTTATATGAATGAAAAGGTTGGCATTATATATATATATATATATATATATATATATATATATATATATTACCATACATGTTGTTTAATTATATCAGTGTTAGCGCTAACAACACACCTTTGTTGCACCCGTTATTTTAATTGTCAATCTTTTTACTATGGATGTAACAAGTTATTTATATGCTAAAAACCATCTATTTATGCATAATGACAGCTTGGTGAGATACTGTTTTGAATGTAGAGATAAAATCACTCAGTTTCCTCATTAACTGACAGTAAATTTACATATTAATTTCATAAAAAAAATCTTTTTGATTAGAAATAATTTAACATTTTTATTTTTTTCAGACGGCTTTTGTGAAAGGTCACAGGAGAACACCAAGTGAAGATGAATTCAAAGATTTAATACGCAGAGATGCACAAGGCGCCATGAATAAAGAATTAATGAAATTATTACAGACAGCACAACCTGGACAACAGAATGTAAGCCAGCTATTCTTTTAACTTTGATTTAGCCCCTCCTCTCTCCAATCACGCAGGAACCATGTTCTATACAGAATCACTTCCAGACTATTGGCATAAAACCAAATCTAAAAGAATCTGTAACTTCCTGAATTATGGCCCCTGATTGTACGAAAAATCGTGTTTTTAGCTTGTGGACCCTATAGAGGTCATAATTTTTATCTGATTTAAAAAAAACGTATAATTATATCACCATTATACCATAAGGATGACTGAGTTAGAATTTCGTGAAAATCGGCCCAAAATTGAGAGACAAAATGGCCGGCGTTCGTTCTCAAATAGCTTAAAAATATGGTATATCAAGGTTGTGGACCCTATAGAGGTCACAATTTTTATCCGATTTTGTTGAAACTTGAAATGTAAGTTTATAACCCAAAGATTTCGGTTCCTTTCGATATTTGTGCATATCGAATTGTTATTTCCTGAATTATGGCCCTTGATTGTAGGAAAAATCACTTTCTTTTTAGCTTGTTCTCTATCCATCTCTCGAAAATGTGGGTGTATTCTGCCTGGCAGCCGCTGGTATATACCCACATAGACATGTGGTATATTGCAGTCACCCTATGCGTCAGTCTGTTTGTAGTCTACAATTTCTAAATATTTGTAATGAAAAGGGGATGATTTTCATTTCTGAAGGTCACAGGATTCTTTGTAAAACTTTTAAGAAACTTTGTAAACATAGCCACCATATGCATTTACTGTGTTCCTTGTTCGGTTTTTATATTTTATCTTGTAAAATGTTGGGTTTTTTATACGCCCACATAGAAATGTGGACGTATATTGCCGTCGCCCCTGTCAGTCCATCGGTCCGTCCGTCCATCGTCCACAATTTCTTGTGAACGCTCTAACGCCAAAAGTTATCATTCAGTTGTTGTTTGCATTAGTGAGATGAAGAAGCCTATTAAATTTCAATAATTTCCATTTATTACGTCTAGAGTTATGGCCCTTGTTTCACTTTGTTGAACCTTGTGAACGCTCTAATGCCAAAAGTTAACATCTGATCTTTGTGAATTTATATGCAATATTTAGATTAGGGATGTATGAAATTTGCATACGTCATTTAAATTAGTAAAGAGAAGAATCCTATTGAATTTCAGCAATTTCCGTTTATTTCTTCTAGAGTTATGGCCCGTGTTCCACTTTGTTCAACCTTGTTAATGCTCGATTGATGAAAGTTATCATCCAATATGTATGAAATTTAAATTTGTGAAACAGAGGTCTATTGAATTTCAGCAATTTTCGTCAATACTTTTTAGAGTTATGGCGGTTGTGAACCTTGTGACAAAAGTGATCATCTAATCTTTATGAAATTTGTATGCATTATTTAAATTTGTGAAACAGAGGTCTATTGAATTTCAGCAATTTCCGTCAATAATTTCTAGAGTTATGGCGGTTGTGAACCTTGTGACAAAAGTGATCATCTAAACTGTATGAAATTTATATGCATTATTTAAATTAGTAAAACAAAAAAGCCTGTCAGATTTCAACAATTTCTGTAGATTACTTCCAGAGTTGAGACTCTTGTTTCAGTTTGTAGAACCTTGTGAACCCTTAAACGCCAAAAATTATAATCTGATCTGTATGGAACTATCTTGTAAAGGCCCCCAATTACCTACAAAGGAATAAATATGTGACAACCCTTGTCGACCGCTCAGACGATTTAGCTGCTGTGGGCGTATGTTTCGTTGCCTGGCAACCTATCTTTTCTTTCTGCAAAATATAAAACTTTGTTGAGAATGATGAAACTGATTAAGAATTGATGCATTATTTAATTGTTTATACCATTTCATTTTAAATCTCTGTTTTGGTTATGGGGATGATAAACAATTTCTTCTTATTATTTATGGTGTATTTACTTGTGAATATGCCAGTGATATTACAGAGTATAAAGATTTTGTTTTTTATATACATAAGATTCACAATGTGACAACCTTTATGTTTCCTTGTCTTTGAGACCTTGAGACCAGTGGTTCTCAACCTTTTCTTGCCAACGGCACACCTTGGAACACATGAAAAAACAGCGGCACACCTGACTAAATAATATATGAAAAATATTTGAATTTTGCAAAATAAAAACATGGCAAGTCATAGACGCCATACAACCATAGACATACTAGTCATATACACATCTAGAATGATTCAAACTTAATAAAGAAAAACACACAGTTATGAACTTACCAGTAGACACCAGTGAATACTTAATTGGAATCACATGTTTTTTTGCATTTTCTTTGTGTGTCGTTCAAAGTTTCACGGCACACTGGTTGAGAATCACTGCCTTGAGACCATTGATAATCATAATCACTAGATTTGTATTGCTTGTTTACCTTCCACATCAAATAGCAACTTTTAATTGGAACTAATCAAAAGAATTTGAAAAGTACTGTATTTTACTTCCTGTGTAGTAAACTGAACTTTGGGACTATGTCAGTTAGGTTTTATTTTGGGTTTTACAAAATGAACTTGATTGTGCATATATTACAAGTCATTTTGATAATATTTGCCAGTGGTTACTATTGACAATTTAATTGAGGGATTAACCTTGTTAAACTGCAACTATTATTATATTTCCAGCAAATAAGAAAAGAATTTGACAGTTTTGAGGCATTATTTTCTCGTTTTTTAAGAGAGACAGGTCCATCTGTAGTATGGGAAAAGATCAAACTATTACAAGATGATGCTGTGAGTATACATATCATTTATTTTAAAATAAAACTGAGATTATTATGATTGTCATATAGACAAACCCACCTAGTGAACCATATGTACTGACGTTGTATATCAATGTCAAATCCAGACATACATTTTTATGTGGGCGCAAATTTTTAATACATTTTATGCAAATAAAATTGATGTATGTTAAATTTCATTTAATATTTTCTTTTATATCTATGGAAAATAAATTAGGAAAAATAAGAATATACTATATCAGCCACACAAAAGTGCCACTTATAATGTTTTCTAAAACCTTTTGATGGGTCCCTTTTTTATACGCCAACATTTTCATGTGAACGTATATTGTCGTCGCCCCTGTCCATCCGGACATCCGTCCGTCCGTCCACAATTGTTTGTGGACACTCTACAGGTCACAATTTTTGTCCGATTTCAACGAAACTTGAAATATAGGTTTATCTCCCTAAGGTCTCGGTTCTTTTCGATATTGGCATGTATCGGACCTTAACTTCATGGATTATGGCCCCTGATTATATGAAAAATCGCATTTTTAGCTTGTGGACCCTATAGAGGTCACAATTTTTTATACGCCCACATTTTCATGTGGACATATATTGTCGTCACCCCTGTTTGTCTCGGTTCCTTTTGATATTGGCATGTATCGGACCATAACTTTATGGATTAAGGCCCCTGATTATACGAAAAATCGCGTTTTTAGCTTGTGGACACTCTAGAGGTCACAATTTTGATCTGATTTTGATGAAACTTGAAATGCATGATTATAACCCAAAGATCTTGGTTCCTTTCGATATTTGCGCATATTGAGCCATAACTTTCTGGATTATTGCCCCTGATTGTACAAAAAATCGCGTTTGTTTTTAGCTTGTTCTCTATCCATCTCTTGCAAAATGTGGGCGTATCCTGCTTGGCAGCCGCTGGTAATTAATTGAGAGTGATGAAACTTGGTGTATACCAGTAGTTTCATTACATCAATACCTTGACTAAGTTCGATCGACGTTGCACTAAGACGGATACATCGCCATCTGATCATCATTTACAAAACAATATTAATTGAAGTATTCAGCGCGATGACGACTAAAATGCATTTAGAGGTGTCACACGACGAAGCATGTGACAGAGATATTTGTCGCCAAACTAAGTTGTCGCATAGTGTGTGCTAGGCTTTAAAATAAAAAAGATTGTGGGGGAAGTTCTGATCTTTGAAGAAATCTGTATGTGTTACAGAAATCCTTTTTTTTTTTTTACCCTAGACTAAACGCTATGGTGCTTTACCCAGTCCAGAGACAGCTAAAACCAAAGAATTATTGGATCAGCTGGTTGTTGTTAAATTAAATGGTGGTCTAGGTACCAGTATGGGTTGTACAGGACCAAAAAGTGCTATTAGTGTTCGTAATGAATTAACCTTTTTGGATATGACAGTACAACAAATTGAGGTAAGATAGTGTGCCTTTATATGGATATTCAACTTTTTATTAAATATTCATATTGTTTTGGGTTTTTTTTGAGGGGGGTGGGGTGGATTTTCTATTTTTATACGCCCACATGGTCCGTCGTCCACAATTTCTTGTGAACGATTTAACGCCAAAAGTTATCTTAAAATTAAAATTGATATATGTTGTTGTCCCCCGCCTTTCAAAGAAAGCAGGGGACTATTAAAATGGGTTCGTCCCTCTGTCCGTCTGTCTGTCTGTCTGTCCGTCTGTCACACTTTTTGGGACACAATAACTTGAATAACTCTCTTTCTAATTGAGCTACAATGTTCAAACTTGGTGTAGGTGTTTATTAGGTCAATGCCTTGATGGAGTTCGAAGATGAGCATTTTCGGCTTTGGGTAAGCAGAGATAAACAATTTGATTGGTTGATATACATTTACATGAGACACAATAACTTTAATTAAGTGAGTGTGAGGACACTTGGAGTATGCTTTATTACATCAATACCTTGACTATGTTCGATTATGAATATTTTCTGCTGAGGGTAAGCAGAGTGATAAGCAATTTGATTGGTCGAGACTTTGGAACACAATAACTCTCCTTCTAATTGAGGTAGAATGTTTAAACTTGGTGTAGGCGTTCAATAGGTGAATGCCTTGGTGGAGTTCTATGATGAAGATTGTCTGCTTACGGTAAGCAGAAATAAGCAATCTGATTGGTTGATGCTTTGAGGCACGATAACTTTGGTTATAATGAAGTGAGAGTGATGGAACTTTGAATATAGATTCATTATATCATTACCTTGACTAATTTCGATGGTGAGAATTTTCTGCTTAGGCTAATGAGCGATAAGCAATTTTTAATCGTCAAGACTTTGGAATATAACAACTCTGCTTTTAATTGGGGTAGAATGTTTAGACTTGATGTAGATGTTCATTAGGTGAATGTCTTGACTGAGTTCAATGATTAACATTTTGAGCTGAAGCTAAGCAGAGCTGATCAATTTCATTGGTCGATGCTCTAGGACATGATAATCTTGATTCTATCTGACAGAGAGTGATGAAACTTAGTGTATAGTTTGATTGCTCGATACTTTTGAAAAAAATAAATGTGCGATTAATTAATGTGTCATCTATTTATTTTGTGATTTCGGCGGGGGACATCAGCTTCATTGTTGGCTTGTTTAAATAATGCATATAAATTTCACAAAGATTGGATAACTTTCGGCGTTGGAGCATTCACAAGGTTCAATAAAGTGAAAGAAGTCATAATTCTAGACGTAATAAACAGAAAGCGCTGAAATTCAATAGGATTCTTATTAAATGGCACATATAAATTTCATATGCTTCTTCATGTGTTTTATAAAAGCTGATTAATGATGACTTATTGCCCCTTTAAATATGTATTGAATAATTTTGAAGATAAATTCATGTGGTTTTAACTATTGTAGAGATTATTTGATTTATTCTCTTGAGTTGTCCACTTGTGACCTTGATAGTTTATATACCTTAATGCAAAAAATATACCACTGTATCCATGTTTACATTTCGTATTAAGATAACATTTGACCTATCTCAAGGTGTCTTTCATGTACTATTCAAATAAACTTATAGTACTTAGACTTTACACACACACTGCACCTATCACAGTAAAGGGAATGCTCAAACCTTGAAGAAAAAAAAATGTGTACAATAAAAATATCACATCCTCAAAAACTGAACTAAAAGATTTTTTACTTCTTAAACTTATTTACTATATTCTTTCTTATAAGGGTTATTCAAAAGGATGTATAATTCATACATACTATTACTTCCATTAATAAATGCGTCAAAGGGATGCACATTAAAATATGTGATCAAAATGGTTGGGGGATTGATTTTGACATATGTACATGTGTCTAATAATGAAAGAGAACTTAAAACTTTGAACAAGAAAATAAATGTTATTAAATTAAAAGTTCCCATGACTTGGATAATTATCAGGAAACTATTTATATCCTAGTGATGGATTGTCAGTTCTGTCTCAAACTTTGAATGACAATCTAACTTGAACACACCCAATATAACCGTATTGTGGCTTATAGTCAAATTATAGAGAATTGAAAATGATTATTTTAATGAAATTGGCAATTAAAGATGAGTTCATGGTAAAAGATTCATGGTAAAAGATACAATTATAATTTGTAAATGTGAATTTGTTTTCTTAAAATCTCAGCGTGGCAAAAAGCTAAAGAACATTTTCTTTATTTCAATTTAACAAAAAAAAAAAAAGGACTAGAAAGCTTTCTGTACATAGATGATTAATTCTAAAACTTAGGTCAGATGCTACCCTGACCTCAATGTTCACATATAGAAACAAGTTACTCTTCTGTAGCTGGCTGACGTTCTAAGACAGAACATGATAAAGTCATAAAGTCAATCAAAAACATTGTGAACTTTAGAATAGGATCAATCAATTTTCCCCAAATATGCTCTTTGTTAAGACTGTTTAAAATGTGTATGGGTAATTGAAAGTTTGTATAATTAATGTTTGTCTTTTATTTTGGAATATTGTATTTTAAATATATTATTTGCTCTATTACAGCATTTAAACAAGACATATGGAACAGATGTACCATTAGTATTAATGAATTCCTTCAATACAGATGATGATACACAAAAAATCCTTAGAAAATATGGACAAGTCAAAGTCAACATATTCACATTCAATCAAAGCAGGTATGTCTCTATATTAAAATAACAGATATTTTAGTGAAATATTACCATAAATTCTACCATATGCTGCTTGTTGTACTAAATGTGTATATCTAACGTTCAATATTTGTAGGCATGATATATACAAATTTGAATATATATACATAGTGACTTACACAATTTATTTCAGATATCCAAGATTAAATAGAGACTCTTTACTTCCCATTTGTACGAATTTCGGACCTGAAAGTGAAGCGGGGTAAGTTAGAAATGATTAATGAAATGAAATGTGGTTTAATGTCCTACTGTTCTGCTCCGACTGGGCTAATGAAAACGGGCATACACCATACAGTGTGCCATGAGGGAAATTTTGCCCGGGCAGCGGCACTATGACCTACTCTTACACCGAATTCCAACTGCCAAGGGATCTTTTACGTTCATGCCAATGTGTACATGAGACCTCAGTTTTCTGTCTCATCTGAACAACTAGACAGCTGTCCTTGTCAGGCCCTCCATCCTGCATCACTGACCAGGCAAAACCATGTTGGAAAATCCTGATGAACTTTCTCGGCCAATGCAGGGACATACTCCTCGCAGTGTTTTGTTTGATTAGAGCTAATCCCACTTAACACTGCTGTAAAGGAAGCAAATTTCTGTTCCAAATTATGACTGGTCAATAGTCCGATTAACAACCAATAGCTAACTGCATAACAATATCAAATATATTTACATAATGTTACGTCATGACTCACTATTTTATTATGCCCAATTAACCAGTGCATAGCAGAATATGGCAGAAAAACTAATTGTGTGACAAACTAGGCTATCAACATGGATACAATGTAAACAATACTGTTTGGAGATGAACAATACTTTCACTGTTTTTAATACCTTAAATCACTGTCCAAAGTTTTAGGGAAGACCCCAGATTAAACGAAACTTGGGATAGATTTAATTGAACAGGAAGAATAGACACACACCCTCAAAAGCTCAAGTATCAGAAGCCAATCCAAAAATGGCCAGAGAGGGATTTCTCGGGCCATTGCTTCAGGAATATTATGCAGGGCTGGAACATGCGACCTCCAGGCTAGCGATCTAGCGTCCTACCCACTAAGCTACCGTGACTCCCAATTTGGAACAGACTCTTTGGAATCATATTATTGTCTCCCCCATTAGCCTGTCTGTTGGGCTATATAATAGTCTATATGCACTGTATACAACAAAACCACACAAAATTGTAAACTTCTGAAATAAACAGTGGTATCAGGTGTTCTGCATGGTAAAGGTTTGAATCTCAATTTGCTATGACATAGCAAATGGATGTCGAGATAAACTCAGAGCTAAGCCTACCAGTCGAGTCACAGATGAGAAGTGGTATCAGGTATTCTAGTTTTCCAGGTGATTTAGCGTTGATCTGTTTTCTTCATTGAACTTTTGTTATTCGGGACACCAATATCTACTAAACCTATGCCTCCTCTTTCTTGGGTATAAAATATATAATTAAAAAAAGAAACTTTTGGTTTGCTTCTCTCTAAAGATTCTGGTTCCCCATTTTTAAGTTTTGAAATTTTAAACAAAACTTCTTCTCAGTACACAAGTGGCTGTTTATTAAGAAAACCCAGAAGAACTAAAACTTAATTTTGTTTGGACCAATGACAAAGTAATATTCTATATACATCATCATCTTAGCTAGTGAAGATAATTCCACCAGTGACAAACAACATTTTGAGCAGCAGATCTATACCATTATTATAATATTATTTTGTAGGTCCATCTTAGTTTTCATAGATTATATCATAAAACTTACTATAAGCTTATTATTATTATATTTTAGATGGTACCCACCTGGTCACGGAGATGTTTATGTGAGTTTTTATAACTCTGGTTTGTTAGATTTATTCTATAAAGCTGGCAAGAAATATGTTTTTATCTCAAATATTGATAATTTGGGAGCTACTGTTGACTTGAGTATTCTTTTTTATAGTCTGATTTAACTGTTCATTAATGTTAACAAAACTTGTGGCTACACTTGTGCAATCCTCTTGAAATTCATGTTTTTTTTCTGCAATGAAAAGAAGCTGGTTTAGTTGTGGCCCTTGATGAGTTGTACAGATTTGTATAACAAAGTAAAAAATGTTTGAGGTGCCCAAGTTTAGATTTGTACAGATTGTTTGCATTAATCAGCCACAGAAGCTTATCTATTTCCCTTACAGACTTATAGCCCATGATAACTTTAACTTGCTAAGAAATTGTTTCAGTTTAGTGCATTAGTTGATTTAATAATAATATATAACTTTATGTATGGTGTGATAACTGGCAAATAATACCTGAAATCTTAAAGATACTTTCCCGCGTACGTTTGATGGTATATTTAGACTAAAAATCAAACTAATCAATCTATCAAAACTTTGCTTCAAGTTCCTCTCAAAACTTTGTACTCATGGGGAGATACCTCAAGCTATAAATAAACTGTTGTTAGAAGCCATGTTTGTCACATAACTTCATTGTGGGATTGTCCATTTTTTAGAATGTATTTTACATTACTTACTGTCCATTTACCATACATATTGAGGCCTAAGTAAATTCTTACTGTATTTTTCGGTGTATTAGAACCATTTTTTTACCAAATATTTTTTTTTCTAGAATAGGTGCGCCTAATACATAACGTTAAGCAAATTCAGGCTTTTCCCGTGTTGTCACTGAAGCCAGAAGTTTAAGAAATAACTGCCCTAGAATCAACACATGTCGACCGGGTGACACTTCCTTAAAAGCTTATGATATATTATCACTCAAATTAAATACAATACTGTTCTTTTGTGTCCATTTATATTTGTCAATAATGTTTTAGATATGTTTAAAATGCATCCATATTTGTGAATAACCTTATAGATACGTTTAAGAAATGTCAATAATTATCACCCGTATTTCTGTTATTTCGTGCATAAAAAAGATGTCGACATTTTCTGCTATTCCATGTACGGTATACCGTTTGTCATAACCAGCAATGCAAACACCAACGGCCGATAGCCGTTCAACTTTAACGGTGTTTAAAAAAGATAGCACACATATCGTTAATATTTCTTGCTATTTCTACAACATATATTTCTGCTATTCCGTATACTCATGGCCATTACAGGCAGTTCTAACACATCCCCGTTAAGGTCAGTGGTGTTATCAGTCACGTTGATGAATAAGGCGGGGCATGCATTCATACAAACATTTTTATTGGCTCAATGTAAGTCATCGGTATTAAGGGTGGAATTACAGTTATAAACTGACATACATGTGTTATATTGAAGTCCTGCAGTCTAACCTGTCGGCAAAACAGAAAATCTACTCGACATATATCATTGACATAGTCAACCAATTCTTTCTCAATTTGTGGATAACGTGCATCGCTCCATCTATTCACTTCTTTATTTGGTTTATGTGACTTAAGTTCCCGACTCATAGCCGCCTTACGTTCGACTCACCCAAATTAAATTAACAACCCGTGACACTGTTGCCGTACTCTTTAGCGGTTCGTCTCATAGCCATTCTGAATAAATAATTTCGTTGGTATTTTCTATAAATTGCTGTAAATTTTACATTTAGCCATTTCAAGTTATCGCTAGTTTTCATGCAGTATAGATTCACTGATTGATCCATTGTTATAATTTACCGGTATCGTTAAATATCTACGGATGAGTTGTCACTTTATGCTTTATGAAGTTGTTTGTAGTTCACAAAATCATTGTTTCTTTGATTGGTATTAAAAATGCTATTGTATTATGTTACTGATAGATCTAAATGGCAACAATCTAGGTATTGTCATGCTGCGTGTAGTGGGTGGGGCAATGGATGCCATCGTTGTCAGTTGTTTGGATAGTATAAAGTAAACTAGAATTATTGTTTCTTTTTTACCGGTAGTCATAATTATTATTTCATTTGTTTATCATCAATACCTATTCATTTATCACAGACATTTGATCGTGAATTTAACAGGATGTAATGGACGGCGATGTTTGTTGTGGGTGGGACTTTAACTACAATTTGACTATGAGCGCCAGAATTACCATTTAAGTTTTGAACAATGCAATTGAAAGTTATAATTAATATAAAGTCTTATGCAATTCAAAAAATGTATATAGAGTTTTTTATTGCATAAAGAAATATATATATAAAACTTGATATGGCTAAATGTTGGCAATTATTATAACTGTAAACAATACAGTTTGGTCCAGTTACTGAAGATCGCAGGTGAATTTGAGTCACGTATGGTATAGCATGCGTTTCACAAGGTGCTGGAGAAGGGTGTGCCTAAACCATGCACTTTTATTTTTTCCTGAAACACCTCTGCCAAACACGCCCTGAGCCTTATCTACGCATACGCCTAATACACCGAAAAATACGGTAATTATTTTCTGTCAGCTTCTTTTTCTGTCGTTTAATTGCAGAGTCATTTGTACGTTGACATGCCTCAGTGTTCCCAACACGACCTAACCATTTGATCAAGAAATAACAATCGTTCCCTCAGTCAAGCTAGCACACAATAAGCTGGCAGACAGCAGTCGGGTTGCCAGTTAGTGATACACTGACATTTTTGCCCAGTGTTTGCAAGATTGGGTGACTATACTTTCCACATATACCAAATTTGCAATAGTTTTATTGGAGATAACCACCCGATAAATACATTCAGGACAATTTATCTTTAAAGTTAAATAATACAAAAACCTTAACAGTATTTAGATATATTAAACTTTTTATTAACTACTGAAAATGGTACTGCACCAGAATTTGTAATGGAGGTTACAGACAAGACGAGAGCTGATGTTAAGGTATGAAATTATAGATTTTTTCCTTCTTTCTTCAGTTTTGTCATCTTTTTTCTTTACATGATCAGTATATTCTTTTGTTAGTGCAGAAGTTTATTTTATAGAGAGTGTGAGAAAATGGTGTTTAATATCCACTCATTTATCATTTGAAGCACATTGGACGACTTTTATTTATTCTGTGATAAATTATTAAATTAATGTATATTTGTTATAGGGTGGTACATTAGTAGAAGTTGATGGTAAACTCAGATTATTGGAAATAGCACAAGTACCAAAGGAACATGTAAGTTTTTACTAATTTTTCACTAATGACAACAGTTTCTGTTTAACATAACTACCAAGATTTGATTTGATGCACTCACATAATAAAACACAGTGATGTACCAACTGCCCAATAACACAGTAACACAGACAATACAACTTTATATTGACATGAAAAACACATTGACAAAGTATCAGTATAAACTGGATGTTATTATGAATTTAATAACCAACCACATGCCATTTCACATACCCGGTGAGTTTCCGGCAGGATATAAAAAAAGTACACGGGTATTGAACATTATCTAGTGAAAGTACACCCATTAGGCATCAAAAATATAAAAAAATGAAAATCGCCTATAGAGGACTTTTTCCATGGTGAGCCAATAACTCTTTTTTAAAATTTTTACAAGGCTAGCACATGAAACATGCTCGATATTTTTGTTACAATCGGAATGAATGAAATGAAATTGCCTTTAACGTCCTACTGTTATGCTCCGACTGGGTTTTTGAAGACGGGCATATGCCATACAGTGTGCTATGACTATGAGAGAAATTTTGCAGGACAGCGGCACTATGGCCTACTCTCATGTTGAATTCCAACTGATCTTTTAGTGCATGCCAATGTATACACGGGACCTTGGTTTTTTCGTCCCATGGACAGACCAGATAGCTGTCCTTGTCAAGTTGTCTGTCCTGCACCACTGACAAGATGAAACCATGTCGAAAAATCCTTACCGGATTATCTTGAAACTCTGGATACTTATTCCTAATACCCTAAGGATCACCCCTAATGTTTTTGGTGCATGCATGACCCCCTGGGACCAAGCCACGCCAAAGTTATCTGTGTGTCTTTGTGTCGCAATTATTTACAGATCCTTTTGAAACTTTGCATACCTATTCCTAATACCCTAAGGATGATCCTATTATTTGTGGTGATTGCCCGACCCCCAGGCGCTGAGCCACACCCATTTTGGCTTTATGTGTCTGTGTGTGTGTGTATTGCCTACAGGCCACAATTTTTAATGGATCGTCTTGGAACTTGATACATGTATTCTATAGCCTAAAGACAGCAACTATTGATTTTGGTGCATGTCCCGACTCCTCTAGTGGCAAAACCACACCCTATTTTTTTATGTCCACATTTTCATGTGGACGTATATTGTCGTCGCCCCTGTCCGTCTGGATGTCTGTCTGTCTGTCTGTCTGTCCGTCCACAATTTGTTTGTGGACACTCTACAGGTCACAATACTTATCTGATTTTGACAAAACTTGAAATATAGATCTACCTTCCAAAGACCTTGGTTCCTTTCGATATTGGTATGTATCAGACCATAACTTGAAATATGTTTATAACCCAAAGTTCTTGGTTACTTTCGATATTTGCGCTTATCGGATGGTAACTTCCTGAATTATGGTCCCTGATTGTACGAAAATTCGCATTTTTAGCTTGTGGTTCCTCTAGAGGTAATAAATTTTTGTCCGATTGAAAAAAAAAAACGTTTGAATATTTCACTGTTACACCCTAATGACTGTTAAGTAGTGTAAATTTATGGTATATCAAGGTTGTGGATCCTCTAGAAGTCACAATATTAATCTGATTTTGATGAAACTTGAAATATATCTTAATAACCCAAAGATCATGGATTCTGTCGATATTCGTGTATATTGGATCGTAACTTCCTGAATTATGGCCCTTGGTTTTACGATAAAAAAGCTTTTTGTTCAGCTTGTTCTCTATCCATCTCTTGCAAAATGTTGGCGTATCCTGCCTGGCAGCCACTGGTTGTGCTTATCGTATACTAGCCACAATTCTGAATGGAGCATCTTTAAACTTGGCATATTTATTCCTTATAGCACAATTTTTGTGTTTATCGTATACTGGCCGCATTTCTTAATGGATCATCTTTAGACTTAACATATGTATTCCTTATAGCCTAATGGCAGCAGCTATTGATTTTGATGCATGTCCCGATCCCAGGGGCAGAGCCACGTCCATTTTTTTTGTGTTTGGCATCTTCAGGCCACAATTCTGAATGGATTATCTTGGAACTTAGTATACTTATTCCTTATACCCCAACTACAGCAACTGTGGAATTTGGTACATGGAATTTGGTACATTATTAGTGAGCAGAAATTCGTCCGTGTATCTGTTATCACTCGTCACATCAGTCAGTTATATAGAGGGATTACTCATGTTTTCCTTTGGCGTTCGTCACTTCTGATTCAGGAAACCTGTATTACTCAGCTATCGTAGCAATGATCTCTGTGTTAAAATTATATTTGGAATGTTTTTAACCAGCTCTATCACATATGTGATAATGACTGGCACCAATATTGTCCTTTAATAACCGATTGACTTTAAATTTATGTGGACTGTTTAGAGTCATAAGACAAAGAATCCTTTTGATTTTCAACTGTTTCCGATAATTACTTCTGGAGTTATAGCCCTTGACTTCTTCGAAAAATCTTGTCGAAGCTGATAGTTACAGAGTTATGGCCCTTGATCTCTGAAAAATATTATAGAAGCTCTTGAGGCTTAAGTTAATATCAGATTGACTTTAAACTTATACACAGTATTTAAGGGCATGAGAGAAACAATCCTATTCATTTTCAACGATTTCCGATAATTACTGCCAGAGTTAAGGCCCTTGATCACTTGTGGATGCTCTAAGAGGCTAAAGTTAATATAAATTGTCTAAGGTCATGAGACAAACAATCAAAACAAATTCTAATGTTTTTTTGATAATTACTTCATGAGTTATTACTCGTAATCAGATTTCATGTGTTGTAAATGTTCACATTACTGACAAAAGAAAAAATGCGACAACACTAGTTGACTGCCCGGACGACTTAGCTGTTGTGGGCGTATGTTTTGTTGCCTGGCAACTTATCTTTGCGAATGTCATCAGAATTATAGAAAGAAATGATTGTATAAATGACTTAATATAACTACAGTTGAAAAAAAAATGATCATTTAACATGTTTTACTCTGAACACCTAATGTCTCCCGATTGCGACAAAAATATCGAGCATGTTTCATGTGCTTGCCTTGTAAAAATTTTAAAAAAGAGTTATTGGCTCACCATGGAAAAAGCCCTCTATAAATCTATAGGCAATTTTCATTTTTTTATATTTTTGATGTCTAATGGGTGTACTTTCTCAAGATAATGTTCAATACTCGGGTACTTTTTTTTTTTATACCCTGCCCGCAACTCACCGGGGATGTGACCTCTCTCATGGAGAAGTCCAGTGATGAGTGGTATCAGGTAAGGTAAGCATAACTTGCTTCACTCACAACACTTATCATTGCATGTAGCTATGAGGCTATCATTAATCAGATTTTATAAAGGCAGCAATGCACCAATGAAATTAAGATTACACATTAACATATTATAAGTGTATAGATGGATATATTAATATATATTCTTGGGCTTCACTATGATGATGGTGTTCAGCCACATTATAGCAAGTTCCCTATATATTATTATGCAATCCAGTATAATTACAATTTACAGTAGACTTCGTATAAAATGGACACCTCGGGACTGGAAGAAATCGTCTGTTATAAACGGTGTCCGTTATACAAAAAATCTGCTATCGACCCTGAATTAGCGACCAGAAGGTAACACCATCCCATGAAATAACAACGTTTATCATATGCAGAATCTATAGAACATACATGTATTTACCTAAAAGTCATTTATGTATTCACATATTATGGATGTTCAAAATAAACAAGCTTATTTGAAAAAGTCTGTAATGCAGGTCTGCTTGAATCCGCCAGAAACACGAAGAAGAGCATTATCGAACTTGGCTGCCACGTCCAGTAGGTCGTCCTGTCTGTCTTTGAGAGCATCCTTTACAGTAGGAGGCAGGGTCGGTTCAAATTCAATTTCAGTTTCGGCTATCGTCAGCATCTTGACCACCCTGTTCTTCGCGAATTTATTGTACAATCTCTGCGTCAGTCAGAATCTGGTGCGTCTCATCATCTTCGTCTATGGCAATGTACTCCTTTATGTCTGGATATTTTCTGGGAAAAGTATTCCGGTAACCGATAATAAAATCACTAATATCATCATTTTGTTCTTCTTATTCGAGAATCCGTTATAAAAATGGACTTTTACATTGATTTGTTGATTAGGGACTGATGAAAATCTTCCATTATAAACGATTGACCGTTATACAGTGTCCGCTGTAAAAGACTTTCTATTACAAAAATCGGGACCAAACTGTTGTGTCCATTATAAGCGATTGTCCGTTGTATGCGTGTCCGTTATATGTTGAGTCTACTGTATAATCAGGTTTAAACATATTAATGTATATATTGCACATGTCCAGTTTTAGAAAAAAAATTATACTTTAATTGTCAACAAGAAGTCAAACTGTCAAATTTATTAGCTGTGTTTTTCAGGTGGACGAATTTAAAAGTGTTAGTAAATTTAAGTAAGTATTTAAATAATATATGAATTATAGAAATTAAGTATGATTTGGATTTGATTTAAAGGTGACGATCTGAGACCTTACTGTAATTTCTTTTGTTGGCAAAATAAACTTTTGACAACCAAACTGAAAGAGATGTGAAAATATATTAAAATCTAGTGTTTTAACAGTTTTATTTTACTAGGAAAGATTTGTTTTATTTGTCGTTGAAAATATATTATTTTGATTTTATTCTTCAGAATCTTTAACACTAACAATTTATGGATAAGTTTAGAAGCTATAAAACGTAATGTTGAAGAGAAGACGTTACACATGGAAATTATTGTTAATCCAAAGGTACATACACTTTTCTTCTGCATGTAGCATACTGCTGGTTTGAACAAATTATATACAACTGACACTATTCTGCCCATACCAATATTTGTTGCAGTCGAAGCAGATTTATTTTATACTGGAGAGATTGAGACTATACTATTACATGTAGGGAATGTCCGGTTGTCAGTCTGAAACATCCCGAATTGATAGAATTGCAATTGAGTGAAGTAGAATCTTAGTCTGATTCAGTTTGTTACATAATTCCCATCTGTCGTCTTTTCGGGTAGAAATCGTGGGATAAACTTAAGTTTGAAGGTTTTGATATTTAATGACAAAAAACCAATGTTGACATTTTTTCTGAGTAGGTCTTCATAGTATGGGAGACCATTATTTGATGGTTTCTGAATCCAATTCTGCTATATTGTATGTCAGTTATAGATACAAAATTAACGATGGTTAAAAATGTAAGACTTACAACTTTTGAAAGGGTAATTAGTAAATTAAAAAGTAGAACAGAAATGTATAAAGCGGTATACAAAGAAATAAAAACAAGGACTGCAAATGAAATACAGTAGAACTTATATTAAGCAAGCACCCAAGGGAAATTTAAAAATGCTTGCTTAAAGGAGGTGCTCTTTGACTAGAGGTATCCAATATTGCCCCAACCCCTACCACAAAAAATAAAGATATAGATTGCATATATTTGTTTATTCATGTAGTATAACAATAACAATACATGTACTTTTTATTTAGTTGTGAATTCAAAGTAGTTGCGTATACATGTTTGTTTAGTAATACTGGATATTTCTTTTACTTTAATCATAGCGTCTAAAAGTTCTATATTGTCGCTGTCTTTTGCATAAGACAATAATGTCTCAGCGGAATACTCCGCAGAGCTTAACATAGTTTTTTCGAATTGAACAACAATATTGTTATCACTATCACTTTACGAGGCGTAGTAATATTAGACATATTGATAAACAATGTCTTATCAATTCAGACTCTTTCTTATATATCACCATTGGCTTGGATATGAATAGAATATTGATTACTGGTTAAAATTATCAGCTTGGGGTGTGAGTAAGCTTGTTAATTAGTGAAAGTAAGTTCAAGCTAAGCGAGTAAATCGTGTCAAGATTAGTGACAGTTCAGTCTCGTTCGCTCAAGCGAGAACGTGATTCTCTGTGATTCTCCGAGATTCACTATGATGTGCTCGCTTAATGGATGAAATAGCATGATCTGGGGCTAATATAGATGCCCGTTTTATGCGTTGAACAGGTGTGTGTTTAGTAGGGGTTAAATTACTTAAAAATCGCTTGGGGGATTTTTTGGTGCTCGTTGAAGCAAGTGCACGGCCGTGCAAGTTCTACTGTAGTAATACTTACTATAAGAAACCTTTGTGGCAGAGATTATATTATCAATTGACCCCAAGCTGCATGTGGAAGAAGTCCTTCAGATGAATGCTGTTGCGTTGGAAAAACAACTATATCACAACTAATACTTAGTCAAAATCTTCACAGCATCCCATATCCCGGCAAAAATTAGCAGCCATCTTTGAAATATGCCAAGTATGTGAACATTGTAGAAGGTTGTAAATGTCAGGAATGGAATCTGCGACCCTGAAAACATATATGTGACCCCCCACAGCATACTGAGTCACAATGAGGAAATTTTGAAAATTGAGTTATTGTTATTATCACATTCTCCAACTCATTACCTTCAATTTGATGTATAGTTTGTCTGAATTGGGCAAAATTTGACTGAGCTGTGTCCATTAGAAGCTACCCAACTCACAAAAGTAAGTTTTGAGAAAAAGCAAGTCAAAGATTTGGTATGTTCAAAAACAAAATCCCATAGCAACCAGGCCATTTATCTGCTGTTTTGTCGTTGAATATATCTTTCCATGGGTTTTCAGGGGTGCTGAAGACGAAAATCGTTGTAAAAATTTGATCTGACTATTTCCACAATTTATTCGCTATATTTTGTCGTTTTATATGTTTTTTATTTAGGATTTCAAGGGTGCTGACAAGACGAAAATCGTAATAAATGCACTCCTTTCGTAACGAAACATCCACAACACATACGGCATAATATTCACATGATAGTGTTATACTGAAGAACAATCTATACATTAGTGGTCTGTTGTGTATAATATAACTTTAGTGAGATTAACTTAATCTTAATCTCATCAATTAATTAGAACCTTAGTGCCAGGTCAGGAGATTAAGATTGTTGATTGGATAATCATCAAAGAAGCCGCAACAGCTGTACGTGTGTTCATTTAACATGTGAATTAAAATAAGATTTTGCGTGTACGATAGGTCAATTATTATTTTCAGGTACCGTGACGTTATCAAAATATGAGTCCCTATAGGAATGTCAATTTCATAGTCAATGCTTACGTTCACTTTCGTGCATTTTGGCTTTGATGTAAATATCAACATTATTCAGAGGATACTCAATGGCAGACTCGAAAATCGTCACATTTCGGCTCGTTGGTCGTTCTCATTTTTTCGACCCATTGTGATAAGATAATTTTAAACAATAATATCCCAAATGCATTCCTTACTTTGCATACCGTATGAAGAAGCGACGGTAAACGGAATTCAGCTATCAATAAAATTCTCTTCGAAAAGAACATTATTGGCCATTTTGTTTATTTCTATTTAAGGCCTATAGATTATTTTTTAAAGATGATATGAGATATCAAACAATCATCACTTGGATTAATTATTCAGAGTAAATAATGAGTTGTCGATGACTTTATCATTGACCCGTGACAGTTGATTAGTAATAGTATTACTCAATGACACACACCCGCTTGTCGATTAATTTACTTCATCAGCCACCTGGTTTCGATTAACACTCAACGCCAATCTATACGATCAGAATTAATATTTTTTTTCTGCCACTTATCAGAGTGAATCGTATGTAGGTGCCCAAAAACATTGCCAAAACCAAATATTTATCGATAATGTTTTGCACGCGGTGTCTGGGCCAATCAGCAAAGGAGTTGTGTTGACAGCATGGCAACAGGCGGAGTTTATTTATATTTTTGGAGTGTTTTAAAACTCGATTGTATCCGTTCAAAATCAATTCATCGACAATATTTTGATCATATTTATAAACTAGAGATGCTCCGCTTTACAACGATGACAATTATTATGCAGGAGGAATGACCGATCGTCCCACTGCGAGCGAAGAAAAATAACTAATTTCGCCGAGAATTTTAAGAAATAGGACAGATTTAAGAATACGGTACTCTTACAAAACGTTCAAATACATGTGTTTTAAAATGTTTTATTGCTATTTTGATCTTCTGTGTCGTTAGATAGTATATTTATAGACTCATTTTTGTGAAAATCTCAATTTCGTTCAAAATCAATATTTTCACTTATTTTGTCTTTATCTCATTATTGATTCTCCCGCATTCCGACTCATTTAGATGCGGACGGTCACATATATGGATACAAAACACTACTACTTTATGAAAGTCAGCACATCGTCCGATTTTATCGCCAAAAATGGTCGCCATCTTGGAAATATCTTCATGAAGTAATGAAAAAAAATCTGAAATATAGCTATGACCCCTGTCAATACCAATACAGTGCCAAATCACAGTTGATATGTCGATAACATTATAAATAAGTTGAAAACAAAATATAAGTTAGAATAATATCGCAAAATGGCTACCTTTCAAATAATGGCGTCCCATACTATGAAGACCTACGCAGAAAAAATGTCAACATTGTTTTTTCGTCATCCACGATTTCTACCCAAAAAGCCGACGGATTTACATTAAGGATCAGATTATTTGACTTAATTAAACACAACTAATATATGTTTCAGCTGTCATGGTTGGTTGAGATATTTTCTTATGCAGTCAGCGCACTGGTTTTACCCCAACATCCGCCTTTTCACTTGATTGTCACTATTTTTAGGATTGAGAGAATTCAATACCGAAACTTCGAATCGAGAATCCCTGTAGAGTTTACTGTAGTCAGAATATGTCAAATACTCCATAAATATATGTGTTGTTTAACTGATTGAGTGTATCATTACTGCTATATGTAAAAATGCTTAAAATAACATTTTCTGGCTAAAGAGGGATGCATGAAATTCAATAGAAGAATGAACGTTTTCCTTATACAGAACAGAAGTTCCTATACAGCAAAACAGAAGTTTCAGGATTAAAGTATTAAAATGTGATTTGCTTTTTTTTTTAGACATTAGATAATGGTGCAAATGTAATACAGTTAGAGACAGCTGTTGGTGCAGCTATTAAAAGTTTTGAAGGAGCTTTGGGTATAGTTGTACCTAGAAGTCGTTTTTTACCAGTAAAGAAGACATCTGATTTATTACTAGTTATGAGTAATCTATATTCTATGAGAACTGGTGCTCTAGAGATGAGTCCTAGAAGATCTTTTCCTAGCGTACCTTTAGTAAAGCTAGGCACTCATTTTAACAAGGTATAATTACATTTCACACACCAATATTTCATATTTGGTCATAATACTAAAAATCAGAGAACACTGTAACAAACATGATTTCTAAACCTCAGAAAACCAGGATAAAGTCAGATAATATTTCTGAAATAAGAAAAACTTACAAAGAAAATGATTATCTCTATACATGGAAAAATATAAAAACTAAGTACATGTAATGGAGTAAATTAGAAAAAGGTTGCTAACTATTAATTGTATGTTTATTTGTTTACGCAGGTAAAAGAATTTTTGTCAAGATTTCAGAGTATTCCAGATATGTTAGAATTAGATCATTTAACTGTGTCTGGTGACGTGACATTTGGTAAAGGTGTTTCATTAAAGGTGAGTAAACATTGAAACAGTACACTGGTAAATACATTTAATTACAATTTAACTGTCAATGTTAATCAAACTCCAATCTTTTATATAAAGGGACAAAAATCCAGAGAGGTCATAAATCTTTTAAAAATCAGGAATTCTTTTGTAATAAAGCCTCAGTTGGTTTGCATGAAACTGGTTCAGAATTATTATTATATTTATGAACTTAGACAGAAAACATCTGGGGGCTTGAAATCAATAGCATAAGATTTTAATGCCAGCTTCAAATGATGATAACTTAATAAAGTTATATATAAATAATAATACTATATGATTTGCATATATACTCTTCAAAAAAAAGTAGGGGATATTGAAATACAAATACCTATGCATGTTGTGATATGATAAATAGTCATGGACCTTTGACATGCTTTGAGAGTATGTTCACAGATGAAGAACTTGTCGCCCCAACAGAACCACTTAGCTGCACATGCTACACGCAATAGCGCCATACACGTGAGAGGGGTTCATTGTCAAATTTGACACTTCAAGGAAGGGTTGATGAAATTCAATTAACAATAGTCTATGACGTCTCAGTGTCATAGTAACATAATAAAATTATTATACAGGCAAGGGTAGTTATTTCTTAGCCTACAGACTACAAATATTCAATCCCACCACGGTCTTTATTTTATTTAATTTAATTGTTCTCTTAATTATCTAGAATTAAATTTCGGGTGGTACTTCTCTATAAAATAGCTTTTTTTTGCCTCCAAGAGATCGTTGTTTTTGCTATTAAGTCTATATAAAGGAAAAACACTAAATTTGCCCCCACCCAAACTTCAAGATGTCCACTGAGCGGGATCATCCTGTCAAACAATCTAATGATGAAGTTGTTGAAGTACTTAGTCCAGAAGACTTAAAATTTCGACCAATCGTAGGGGGGCCCAATAGCAGTACCCAGCGACTCAGCAACTTTATAGACATCATCTTAAAACCATTATGTTCTCGCGTTAAAAGCTTTCTTTGCGATGATATAGATTTTCTACATCAATTACCTGCACAGGTAGAACCAGGTAGTACAATTATTAGCTTTGATGTAGTTAATTTATATAACAATATAAGCAAAGATCTGGGACTAAAAGCTGTCGAATATTGGCTAAATAACCACGTAGACCTCATACCAGACTGGTTTTTATACGCCCAAATGGAAATGTGGTCGTATATTCATTGCCGTCGCCCCCATCCGTCCGTCCGTCGTCCACAATTTCTTGTGAACACTCTACAGACTACATTTATCATCTGATTGTTTTGAAATTGATATATGTTGTTTGCATTAGTGAGATGAAGAAGCCTATTTAATTTCAATAACTTCGTTAATTTCTTCTGGAGTTATGGCCCTTGTTTCACTTTGTTGTTGCACCTTGTGTACAGACTACATTTATCATCTGATTGTTTTGGAATTGATATATGTTGTTTGCATTAGTGAGATGAAGAAGCCTATTTAATTTCAATAACTTCCGTTAATTTCATCTGGAATTATGGCCCTTGTTTCACTTTGTTGTTGCACCTTATGAATGCTCTAACGACAAAAGTTATCAACCAATCTGTGAAATTTATATGCATCATTTAAATTAGTAAAACAAAGAAGCCTATTGAATTTCAGCAATTTCTGTTAATTACATCTAGAGTTATGGCCCTTGTTTCACTTTGTTGAATCTTGTGAACGCTCTAATGAAAACAGTTATCATCTGATCTGTTTGAAATTGATATGCATCATTTAAATTAGTGCAATGAAGAAGCCTATTAAATTTCAGCAATTTCCGCTTATTACGCCGTGAGCTATGGCCCTTGTTTCACTTTGTTGTACCTTGGGAATGCTCCAACGACAAAAGTTATTATCCGATCTGTATGAAATTTATATGTATCGTTTAAATTAGTGTTTTTTCTTTATATAGACTTAATAGTAAAAACAACGATCTCTTGGAGGCAAAAGAAAGCTATTTTATTGAGAAGTACCACCCGAAACTTAATTCTAAATAAGAGAATAATTAAATTAAATAAAATAAAGACCGTGGTGGGATTGAATATTTGTAGTCTGTAGGCTAAGAAATAACTACCCTTGCCTGTATAATAATTTTATCATGTAACTATGACACTGTGACGTCATAGACTATTGTTAATTGAATTATTGTTTAATAAATGCCTGAAGAGCCGCTATCGCGGTGAAAACGTTAGCATAAAAATGTAGTTTTATTTTGCCATCTTTAATTTCAATTATATATTACCAAAGAGCAGCTTTAATTAAGTATTATATATATATTTACAGGGGACTGTTATTATTATTGCTAATCATGGTGAAAGAATTGACATACCTGCAGGTGCTATCTTGGAGAATAAAATTGTATCTGGTAATTTACGAATATTGGATCATTAGTATTAAGTTTTATATATATATTATTGATTTTATACTGGTTACTTTCTTGTACCATACTGTTTTATGTTATATATCTATATATATATCTACAGGGCTTATATATAATCAATCAAGCAATGTATACTACACTACATCTGTATAATTCTTTACAACTGTATAATATTCTTTACAACTGTATAATTCTTTACAATTGTATATAATTTATGCAAACTATATACATGTATATTGCTGTGCAAGTGTATAAATATAAATGTCACATCACTCTTTATTCTGAAGGTTATTTGAGATCCTCACATAATTTCATGAAATCCTAAAATAAACATCTTGGAGCCCACATATATGGAGTTGGAATGTTAACTCTCGGGATCATGAAAATAATTATATTCGGGGCCCTTATTCACGAAAACTTAAACTAAGATACAATCAAAATTTTAAGAAATACTGCAATTCGATTGGCTGACCAGTAAAATCAATTTGCATATATCCAATAAAGTTGCAGTATTTCTTAAAATTTTGGTTGTAACTTAGTTTAAGTTTTCGTGAATAAGGGCCCTGATCACTTGGGTGCTTGCCAGGATTTTGATATGGTTATGCTTGGATCCTGAAAAAAATCTTAATCTCTTGCTGTATTCAAGGGCTGTTTGCACAGCTGTGGAATAGTATCTATTTTATTAGTTGATGGTAATTAATCTGAGTATTTAATGACTCAAATTGATCAGAAAGCTGCTATTTTCTGTTCATTGTTCAATTGTGATTGACAATTTGCTAGGAATCTTCCTTTTTATTGAATGTACTTACCAGGTATTACAAATTTTAAATCATTCCTCACATTCGTACAGTGCTGTACTTTTACCATATCATATAAACAATTAATATTACTAATAAATAGAATTTGTTGTTTATATTATGTAGTAGTAGTAGTAATTTGTTTATTATAGTGTATCACACTATCATGATGGTTGTAATAGCTGGTTGAACTATATTTTAATATCTGTTACATTCAGATGATCCACTATTTGGATTTGTTAACTTTTAAATTGTGGGAATACTTTATCTCTAAAGTTTGCATATTTTTGTTGATTTTGTGATATTAGCTATGAATTGATTATTTTGGTGTTAAAAATTAAAATGGTGATATAAATAAAGGGGATATGTTTGTAGTTATTTGCTTGGATTGTTGTTAACACCTTTGCTTGATTAATTTGCAATATATTTGGTGTGAATAATTATATTTGGCATGTGTACTAGTAAATGATTTATAATATGTTATATTCATAATAAAACATGAAAACTCAGTTTTATAGTTTACAGTTTAATTTCCATCTCACTAATAGCTTTTGAATAAAGGTAACCACCCACCTGAATGTGGACCTTGTTTGAAGACAGAATTGATCAAATGTTTATAGTGAAATAACAGGGGGGGGGGGGGCGGAGAGAGAGAGATCATCGGTTACATCCACTTTTAGAATTACAAGATAGCTTGTCATCTAATTACCGTATGTCCAGAACAAACACCTTAATAAGCTTTTTCACTGCATGTTTCAGCCAGGGACCCTAACTTAATGATGATCAATTAATAATGACAGTAACATTTTATTCAAAATATTACGTAAAGACACAAAATTGTAAAGCACTGTCTTACTCCATTAAACATACATTATGCAAGAGCTAAATCTGTCTATTGCGGGTCATTCTTTAGGCCTGAAATGTTATCTAAATTATTAATTAGGCATTAATTAACCTATCCAGACCAGAATCAAATCTAGATGGCATCGCTAGCCTGTGATCTTTAGTGGATTGTGAGCCGATTTGCTGCATAACTTTCCTTCACGATTTAACGATTAAATGATCAAGGCTAGGCAGAAATTGAATCGCTTTGTTTTCGGTTCATAGTGGATCAATTTGAATGAAATTTTCAGCAAATTGCTTTTACATTATCTAGTTTTTAACTATTATAGCGAGAACTGCCAACTCAATATCGAATCTCCCATAATGTATCTTTAACTACTATTCCTAATTCTGGGCAGAAAGTAATGACTTGTGGGTAAAAAATGAAAAAAACATCAGTATTCTGATATATATATTATTTCATATAAAAACAACATTACAATTTCATACATTATAATTTAACAGAACAGTTATTGCACATAATGTATGCATGTTGATGAAATTTCTTTAAATTACTTCAAATAAATACAACTTTCTTAAATAAAGAGTTAAAATATACTATATTATTTTTATCATGTACATTGTTAATAGTATTGTGTCTTCTTCACCAGTACTAGCAGTAAACCAATTTATATATCAAATGATCACGACAGATGATGAGTTTTACTCACATTTCATTTTCTTGTACTGATAGAACATATTAGGTAATGGCAGTCTATGTATTTAGGGTGAGTTGTATGGTTTGATCTCTGTATTAATTTATTTTCCTAAGGTTATGCATGGCTAACACAGAAAAGACTTTGTTCATTCCGCTAGTTGACTAGTAAATAATTACTACATGTACTAAATACATAGGACTTCAGTATCAGATATTAGAAAGGAATGTCATATTATTATTAATATATCTTTGAAGCATGCATTACTATTACAATCGCCAAATCTTCAGGCTCAGTCAGTAGGATATAACTGGAGTTGTTTGATTACAGTAACTTGATCAACAAATTAGTGGATATACATGTACATGTAGTTATTAAAGAATGACCATGGAAATAAAGTATTAACGGTTTCAATTAAATCCAAACAAACATTTCATAGGCTACATTTTAATATTTAGGACATAAAAGCTACTCCTGACAATAGTGTATTATTTTTACAATTCATTGTTTTTTAAAAGATAACACACTGATGGAATGAGTATTCTTTCAACGAAAAAGAATCAGACTGGTTTTCTAGCAGAGACAAGACAGATTTTCATTACCAATTTGATGAATAAATTTAACCATGATTTTCAGTTAGTCTTTAGGTCTAAAGTGTCCAAAATTGGTTGATGGACCTCCGGGTCTCTTTGCCAAATGTCAGTTTGGCACCATCTTTTTTATTTGAAATAGTGCGAGTCGGGTAAACCTCCACAATTCCTCAACAGGTTCACCTATGGATTTGTAATATGGTCAAAATGTTCATGATACAATTTCGCATCTGCTGAAAAATATGATACATGTTGCTTAATCAATACTATCAGTTTCAAAATCAAAATAAAAGACTAATCTGAAAATGGCAATATTTTCGGAGGGGGGGGGCAACTAAAGTGATTTGATATCATATGTAATATGCAATTGAAAGGGTTTTCAGTGTTATTGAGCTTAAAATTAACCAAAACAAAGAGTTTTAAAAATCCAAAATGGCCTATATTCAGAATGGAGGCCAGAATTTCCATAAAATGATTGATTTACCGTTTGATATAGCTTGTAATATGTCTTTTATAAGGTTTTCAGAGCCACTGAACTTGAAAAAAACTCAAAACTGAATGTTGAAAATGATGGTAATGATAATGCTAAAAAAAAAAAAAAAATTCTTTAGAGAATATGTCTGGCTTATCCGACCCTCCACCCCATAAACAATACAATGGAGCATCTGGAATTGATTATACTGGATCTCAAAGATCACAAGACATTCCACCAAAATAGTGAGGCATTTTAAATTCATCTCGCATGCCTTTTCAACATTTTTAGCGGAGTGAGAATCATTTATGATATCCAGATGTTAAGATAATTCCTTATTTGTTTAGAAATGGTAATGTGATCTGTTTGAAAAGTATCAAATAAAACTCAGGAAAATACCAAACAAATGATTTTGATACTAATTACTGAAAAAATCTGAAAAACCCTAAATACCGAAAAATCACTAAATACCGAATAAAACAACACTAATTACTGAAAACAAGCCAACAGTGAGGCTGATGTCCCCCGCCGAAATCCCAAAATAAAAAGATGACACATATTAATTAATCGTACATTTATTTTTTTCAAAAGTATCGTGCATTCAAACCATACACTATGTTTCACCAATCTCTATCAGATAGAATCAAGATTATCTTGTCCCAAACCATCGACAAATGAAATCGATTAGCTCTGCTTATCGTCAGCTCGAAATGTTAATCATTGAACTCAGTCAAGACAATCATCTAATGAACATCTACATTAAGTTTAAACATTCACCTAATGAACATCTGCATTAAGTTTAAACATTCACCTAATAGACACCTACACCAAGTGTGAACATTCTAACTCAATTAGAATGAGAATTATTGTGTTCCAATGTCTCGACCAATCAAATTGCTTAGTCAAGATATTGATGTAATGAAACTATACACCAAGTTTCATCACTCTCACTTAATTAGAACTAAAGTTATCGTGTCCCAAAGCATCAATCAATCAAATTGCTTATCTCTGCTTACCCTAAGCAGAAAATGCTCATCTTCGAACTCCATCAAGGCATTGACCTAATAAACACCTACACCAAGTTTGAACATTCTAGCTCAATTAGAAAGAGAGTTATTGTGTCCCAAAAAGTGTGACGGACGAACAGACAGACAGACGGACCCATTTTAATAGTCCCCTGCTTTCTTCGAAAGGCGGGGGTCCAAAAAAAACCTAGGCCACACATAATCAACGGCTGGCAGGCAGGATACGCCCACCCTTTTCAAGAGATGGATAGAGAACAAGCTAACCAAAAAGCAATTTTTCATAACATCAAAGGCCATAATTCAGGAAGATGCGATCAGATATGTGCAAATATTGACAGGAACCAAGATCTTTGGGTTATAAACATGCATTTCAAGATTTATTAAAATCATATCACAATTGTGACCTCTAGAGGGTCCACAACCTTGATATACCAGATGTTTACACTATTTGCGTAGAGGGGTGGCCATGTTGTCCGGCAGTTTTTGTCCGATTTTCACGAAATTTGAACTCAACAAACATTACGGTGTAACAACAGTGATATATTTGAACGTTTTTGTAAATCAGATAATAACTGTGACCTCTAGGGGGACCACAAGCTAAAAACAGGATTTTTCGTACAATCAGGGGCCATAATTCAGGAAGGTACGATCAGATATGTGCAAATATCGCCAGGAACCAAGATCTTTGGGTTATAACATGCATTTCAAGTTTCAACAAAATCGGATAAAAATTGTGACCTCTATAGGTCCTTAAAATCGGATCAAAATTGTGACCTCTAGAGGGTCCACAACCTTGATATACCAGATGTTTACACTATTTGCGTAGAGGGGTGGCCATTTTGTCCGGCAGTTTTTGTCCGATTTTCACGAAATTTGAACTCAACAAACATTACGGTGTAACAACAGTGATATATTTGAGCGTTTTTGTAAATCAGATAATAATTGTGACCTCTTGAGGGACCACAAGCTAAAAATGTGACTTTTCATACAATCAGGGGCCATAATTCAGGAAGTTACGATCCAATATGCACGAGTATTGAAAGGAACCAAGATCTTTTGGTTATAAACATGCATTTCAAGTTTCATAAAAATCGGGTGAAAATTGTGACCTGTAGTGAGTCCACAACCTCAAATTTTGGCGGCCATTTTGGAAATCGGACAGACCCCAACTGAAAATGACGTCACAGAAGTGACAATGGCCTACATAAGTTCAACCTTTTTTTCAGATAGAATTTGAAGCTAAAGGTCTAACGAATATTTAACCTGAAACATAACATGTACAGATATTTAGTTTTCTCACTAAAATAGATATGGCCAAAACTAAATAATACTGTAATGGGAGTGACAATATTGTAATAAAGAGAAAAAATATCAAATGGAGTTTAATGTCTTACTGTTTGTACCAACCTGTATAATGAAGATGGGCGTACGTCATACATTATTGTTTGAGGGGGGGAGGGCATTGTACGTTTACAACTAGTATGCAAGTGTCATCATCAGTGTGCAAGGGAGCCGCGGTGACTCAGTATAGGGCTGGCTCACTTACCAAGTGGCCCAGGGTTTGATCCTAGTCTGGCGTTGTTTCCCCTTGTCCGTGGCTCACTAATCAGGAGGTCCGGGGTTTGATCCTGGTGTTGACCTAGACAGTTCCCCAAACTTTCCAGTGTTGTTTCCCCATGTCAGTGTGATGGACAGTGTCAAGTTATTCGGATGGTATATAAAACTGAAGTCCTGTGCACACGTTGACGTGCACGTAAAAGAACTTTAAATTCGAAATAAAGAGTAGACCGTAATGTATGGCGGGCTTATGTACATCTGCATTATGACGGTTGATTTTTTTTTCTCTACATTACAATTGCCATTCCCTTCCAGTATTATTTAGGT